AAACATTAACAATATGTTTAAGTTTACTACTATTGCTATACTGGTTGTCCTATTGGTGGTGGTGGTTAGGGATGGCATTATCACTCAATCAAACAATGGCACCGAAACTACTACTGTTGGCCAGACTAAAACCAATGGCACCGAAGCGACTACTGTAGGTCCGACTAATACTAATGGCACCGATGGTGATAGTAATCCTAGTATTGGACATAACAAACCTGAGATTACATCAATTAAAAAATAATACTAAATCATAAAATAATACTACAGGTGGACAGTAGTAGTGATACAAACATTATATATAGAAAATTATAGATAAAATTTATTAATATTTTTTGTTTAATTAAAAGTTATTAGATTAAAAACTATTGTTTGATATTATGAACTATATATTTAACTAAAAAATATTACTAAACAAATAAAAAACAATAAATTTGTTTTTGTTGTTAATTATAAATTAAATTCTTATATAATCATAATTTAATAAATAAAATAATTAATATGTAAAATAGTTATATTTAATTAATTTAAATAATGTAAATTGTCATTATATTATTTATGAAATTAATGTCAAATATACAAAAAAAAATATTGTTTAAAAATATAATTAATAATTAACAATTTTTTTTTAATAATAATTGTTATTAAATATGTTTTTTACAAATCTATTTTTACACAATTTTTCATTTATAAAATATTTACTGTATTTTATAGTAAAAATTAACTTTTCTTTGTTTATTTAATTAATTGTTTAAAAAACAACTCGATAAAATAATTATTAAAATTAAATATCAATTTTTATAAATAATATTTTTGCATTATTATATTGCTAAAACAAATTAAAAATAATGATATACATTGTATTATACGATATTTAATACAGTATTATAGATAAAATAAAAACAAATAATATATAAGTTAATTAAAAGTTTAATGAAAATCTACTGTAATAAAAAATAAATAACATTAATTTTATCTAAATAAAATAAAATATGCCAGTTCATTTTATTCAAACTGAAACATTGAAAACACAACACGTGAAACTAATTATCAATAATAATAATTTATAAACAAATATAATTGTTTTTTAAATATTGGTGAAACTAAAAAAAATAAATGATAATCATTATTTAAATTAATAACAGTACACTTATATTTTGGCACTAAAACTTCAAAAAAAATAATCATGGTCAATTATTATTTATTTTTTTGTGATTTATTATTATAGATATTACTTGTGTATTAAATGACAAAATAAAATTGTATGTATAATACTAGTATATAAGCTTGAATTTTGTTTGTTTTAAAATCAATAAGTTTATAATTTAACTTATAAATACAGTAATAGTTTTTATTTTGTAGAAACCAAAAAAAAAACATTAACAATATGTTTAAGTTTACTACTATTGCTATACTGGTTGTCCTATTGGTGGTGGTGGTCAGGGATGGCATTATCACTCAATCAAACAATGGCACCGAAACTACTACTGTTGGCCAGACTAAAACCAATGGTACCGAAGCGACTACTGTAGGTCCGACTAATACTAATGGCACCGATGGTGATAGTAATGCTAGTATTGGACATAACAAACTTGAGATTACATCCATTAAAAAATAATACTAAATCATCAAACGATACTACAGGTGGACAGTACTAGTAGTAGTAGTAGTAGTAGTAGTAATACCACATTATTTGTTTAATTAGAAAATTATAGATAAAAATTTATTAATATTTTTTTTTGTTGAATTAAAAATTATTTCATATTATGATAATTATTTAACTAAAATAAATAAACAAATAAAATAAAATTATTTGTTGTTTTTAATAATTGTGTCAAATTTTATTATTATTAAATTAATTACTCTTAATTCAGTTATTATAACAAAATAAAATAATTAATAAATCGTAAAAATTGTTTTACTTATTTAATTTTAATAATTATGATTATATTATTAAGTAAATTAATTCCAAACATACAAAAGATAATTTATTATTTAAAAAACTTTACTGATAATCTACAATTTTTACAATAATTATTATTAGATATGTTTTTTACATATCTATTTTTTAGGTACTGTTTTCACTAATAAAATATTTATTGTATTTTATTTTAACATATTTTAACATATTTTTTGTTTTTTAATGTATAAAATATATATAAACAAATAAAATGATAGAATATCATATTAATCTAATAAAATATCTAATAAAATTAATTAAATCTATAATTAAATTTTTAATTTAATAAAAATTGCAAATATTAAAAAATTATATTTATCTATATAGTAATTATACTTAATTAGTAATATAAAATTAAATAAACGGTAAATAATTAAATGACATTTTAATTATTTTTATTGATTATTAAATGTTTTTTATTATGAATTATCATATTAAAGTTAAATGTTATAAATGTTCTAAAATTTTTATAAATATATTTATAAAATAATATTTTTAATAAAATAATCATGGTCAACTATGCATTGTTTTTTTTGCATTTCATAACATTGTAATTAATATTAATTAATTATTACTAAAATAAATTAATTTTATATTTTATCTATTTTTTATTAGCAATATTATAATACGGATTTAATTTTATGATTTAAATGACAAACATTTTTTGTTGTTGTTTTTGAATAAAAACTTGTATATATAAGCTTGAAACTTTTTTTTTTGATTAATTAAATTAATTAATTTTAATATAAATATTTAGTTAAAGTATTTATAAAAAGTATTTAGTTAACATTTATATATCATAGTTATCTAAATAAAACTAGCAATCAATATGTTTAAGTTTACTATTGTTGCTATACTGGTTGTCGTATTGGTGGTCAGGGATGGCATTATTACACAATCAAACAATGGTACCGAAGCACCTGATGGTCAAACTAACAGCACAGGGACCCAACAACAACATATCGTTGCCTATTATAAGCCATTTGGTAATAATACAAACCCATCAAACGGTACTACCGGTGATGGAGACCAATAATAATTTTTTTTTAAAAATAAAATAAAATTAATTAGTATTTTTTATAGATAAAATTTATAAATTAGTTATTATTATTAATATATATATATATATATTGTAGTAATGTTATATATAAATAAATAAAACAATAATTTATTTTATGATTATGAATTGTATAGACATTTTAAAAAAAATTTAATTATTAAAAATTATTACTAAATTGCAAAACTGTTTGATAAAATCAATTTTAATATATTCAAAAAATGCAATTATTTAATTTAATAAAATAAAACAATTATTATTGTAATATTGTTTATTAAATCTTTATATTATATTTTATATTAAATAACACTTTTTATTATAATTAATTTTTAACTATTGGGTTAATGCTATTTTGTTAACACTAAATGTTTAATTATAAAATTTTATAAAATAATAACAAGCTAAATTAATTTAATAAAATGTTAAATAAAGTATTATTTTTTTAAAAAAATATATGATATTAATATACGTATAGCAAAAAATGTATAATTTTAATACTAAATTAAACTATTATATTGTAAATACGGTAATGTATTCAATGTTGTATTTTTGTTAATAACATATTTATTTATTAATTTAATATTTATATAAAAAATCTATTTTGAAGTATAATATATAGAGCTTATAAATAAATATTATAATATTAATTTGATATAATTTACATTTACAATAAAATTAAATATATGCGCTGGATAATATTTTCTAAAATAATAATTTTAGTCAAATTAACTCATGAAAGTAACTATTATTATTAGTTATAATTAAATAATTAACAATTTATTTTATTTAATTATTAAAAAATAATATTTTACATACTAATTATTATTATTTGTAATAATAAAGTTAGTTATTAATGTGTATTGAATTACAATCAAATTTATTAATTAATATATTATTTTTTATAAGTATTTAATATTATATGTTAGATATTATGAATTTCTAATTAGTTTATCTAAGAGTATATAATAGACACCTGTAAACAAATTTTTTGTTTATTATAAAATAAAAATTAATTTTTAAGTTAAAATTATTATTATTATATTAACAATGTATAATAAATTTACTATTATTTCTATATTAATTATTAGTGTCTTATTGATGGTCAGGGATGGCATAATCACACAATCAAATTGTACTAATGGTCCGACTAATAGTACCGGCGGTAGTATTACAGCAAATGGTCAGGGTCTGATTGGTAAATTTATATCATATGGTAGCCATCCCGGAGCCGGGAACTGTAAAAATGATACGACTGTCCCCCCAACAAGCAAATAAAAAACTAAATGATTTTTATGATATAATATATATGATGTAATTAATTAATATATTTAATAAAATTATCTAATAATATACAAATAAATTGTTTACATATTTTTAACAAAAAATATTGTATAATTTTTTTTTTTTAAATTTGGATATCAACTATTGAATATTTAACTTATTTATAAATAATAATTTTATTAACATAATCAAACATTATTAATGTTATCATATAATAAAATGATTACATAATATTTTCGCTATTTTTTCTACATTTATTTTTATTAAATTTTAATCAAATATAAATTTATAAGTTTTAATAAAGAAAATTAAAAATTTAATCAAATAAACTAATAAAATAAATTATAATGTTTTTTATAATTGCTTAATATACTGTATATTTTATATTAAATAAAACATTGTAAATATTTATAAACTAATTATAATATACAAATATTTTTAATCTATATAAATCAATATTTAATTTTTTTTAAATAAACTTTTATTTATTTATGTCAAATTAATATTTAGATAATTAATTAATTATTAATATTCATTAATTTCAGATATTTGTAAATATGATAATTAATAATTGATTATTATTTCAACAAGTTAAATATCAAAAAACAAACAAAAAATAATTATTACTTAAATTGAATTTATATTATATTATATTATTTGTGTAATTACTGTATTATAAGTTTATTATTATCTGTAATACTATTAATTTCTAAATATATAATATAATCAAAAAAAAACTACATAAGCCCAATGATGTCAAGCCGTTTAGTTTTAACGGTAATGTCGATAGCGTTTCAATTCACGTTTGATTAGTTGCGGTCTTTCAATAGTGGCCACCGACTCGTCCAAGTATTCCCGTTCGGCCTGTCCGGTCAGCACACGGGCGTAGACTTCCCTTTTGTCGTTGTTGTTGTTGATGTTAATTATCATTTTATAGTACCGATTATAATAGTCAGTAATCGGTTCATTATTCTGGTCGTCGTCGTCCACCCATCTATAGACGGCCAACACATTTCTGGCCATTCGGCTGCCGCTAAATCTTACGTAAACTATGCTATTCGGTCGATAGTCGATAGCCGAAACAGTGGCCAATTTGTTAAAATAGGCAAACACCATATCCTTTTGTTTGCGTCCAATATAACACAGTTTATCAATTATTAGTACCGAATCCCTGAGCGACTGTTTCATCGATTCCAGGCGTTTGTCTACCCGTTTCAGTACACAGATCTCATGGCTTGACATCGCATAGGTGGCCATATCTTTGCGATAGTCGGCAGTGATTTTGGTTTCTAATGTCTCAATATGTTTGTTATTTAATCGCCAAAATCGTCGTTCGTCCTGTCCATCGAGCACTTGGGCTAATACAGGATAACCATAGATAATCAGCACCTTCTGGTCCAACCAGCCGTCCGGTTCACAGATATCGGCCAATACATCTCGTGCCAAAAATTTGCCAATAAATCGGACATAACCGACACGTTTGCGATTGATTTTCAATACATATCGGATGTGCCAGTCTTTCAGTTGATAATACGTGTTAATTAGTTTGGAAAAGTAGGTACGTATCGACTGATAGGACAACTCTATGGGCACATCCGTCAGCATCAGTACCGATGAATTGTGTGGTATATAAACAGGTGTGTCGTCGTTGTTGTTGTTGTTAGCATCCAATTTGATGGCCAACTTTTCGGTAGCGCCGCCGCCGCCGACTATACAACGATTTTGTCGCTCTTCAGCTTTTCGGCGCTTAATTTTGGCCACAAAATCACGTTTGCGTCGATAGTATTGTAATTTATTTTCTTTCAACAGTTCATTGTTGTTGTCGTCGTCGTCTCCATATTTGATCACCGATTGACCTAACAATTTGTTGGCCATTTCTTTGGTCTTGAAAGTGACAAAAATACAACCTTTGAACTGTTTTTCCGCCGGAAATTTCTTTGGTGTGCACCTGTATCTCATATCTAGCCATTCAACTATTCGGTATGTTTGCAACCAATCAGTCAACTGATCAAATGTTACGTCCAAAGGAAAACCAGCCAAATGTACGGTACGTTCGTTCAGTTCACGTAACCAATTGCCGGTCATCGGCGGTATCGGTCGGTTAGGGTTACGGCGAACTCGTTCATTGATGACATCAATCTCTAGAAAATCTGAATCAAACTTAAGATTTTCAATCGTATCGACAAAAACTAAGTATGAATTGCCAGTCAATTGTTTCAGTCGATTGAATGTCATTAATGTCGTGAAACTAATCCCTTAATTTGAAACAAATTTGTGTTTTATTTAATCAAATCAAATATATGTTTATTTATTTAAATAAATAATTAATTAATTAATTATAATTACATCCGTTATCTTTGCTGATCTCATCTCTCATAAACCGATTTGTATTGATATTGATGTCCGAAAAATATGATAACAATTGTTTGGCAAACTTTTGCCGCAAATCACCGATATTTGAGTCCATAGTTGATATTGTTGTTGTTGTTGTTGATGATGATGTAGTTATAGTTTTATTTTTAAATAATTATAAAAATATAGTCTAATATGATATTGTATTTAAATACAATGTGCTTTTAGTATATTAATTAAAGTTTAAGTTTTTTTTAAAGTAAAAAAAAGTATTCAATGTTATAATTTAAATACATGACTGTTTTTTATTATTATAAAATATTATAATCATAGCCATACTAGCATGTTAACTTATTAGTAATTTATAATTTTAAAAAATTAAAATACAAAAATAGCATTACAGTATAATTTTTTTTTTAAGTAAAAACAGTCATCTATTAATATTAATATTAAACCATAGACTATTAACTAATTTATATGGACTAAAGTTAGCATGCTCATGTATGTAATATATCATAAATATGTAAATTAATATGTATTCAATAGGAATTTTACATTATTTATCAAGTTTATTTATTTTATTTAAAAAATAATATTACTTTTTAACTTATGAAAGTTTAATGAAATTAATTTTTTTATACTAATATAATATAAAAAAACAAAATAAAAACATATATTATCAAAAAAGATTTAATTATTTTATTAAAATAAATATATAATTTGTTTATACTATATATATATATAAAAGTAGTAAAATTATCTTGCTAAATTTATTTGTGTTTTATTAAATTATATATATTTTTAAATATTTCTATTTAAACAATTTAATATCTATTTTTTGAAAATATTGTTAATTATTAGTAATCATAAATACTTTAGTTTTTTTTGAGTAATATTTTTTCAGCAGAAAAAATAATAATTAATAATAATAATTAATTAATAATTAAAGCAAATAAAAAAATTTCAACAATTTTTCCAAATAAAATGTTTTTTTTTGCAAATCATAAAACTATAATTAAATTTAATTGTTTATAATTAATTTTTAATCAAAAACAAAACATTATATATCCTTTATTTCATATATTAATTGTAATATAATATATTAAACTAATGACAAACATTATTATACACTAATTAAAGTTAAAGTAATTAATTATAAATAAATAGGATTTTTACGTTAATATATTGTATATTTAATTAGGTTTTTATTCATCAGTAGAGTACATAAGCTAGAAATTTTTTATTTATTTTTTTAAATTTTAACTAAAATATATATTTATTTTATTTTTTAATTTTTTTATGGATAGCAATACTACTGTAATAACAATGTATAAGTTTGTAGTAATTGTTATAACTTTAGTCGTATTGATGGTCAGGGATGGCATTAACACCCAAACTAGTAATGGCACCAAAACTAATAGTACGACTACTACTACTACTACTACTACTAACAGCACAGATAGTGGTGATGGACAACATATTTATGGTGTATATAATTTATATTATATTATTTTATATAATATTAAATTATTTATACCATTTGGAGATACCGGAGCTGATAATGATACCATAACACCACTACCATTAAACAATACTATCACTGATGCTAATCAATGGTTATAATGTTATTTATCTAATTAATTATTTAAAAAAAATCATATATTTATATTCTGTATATTATAATATAATAATAATAATACTGTATTTAATTATATACTAACTATTAGCTAACTGTAATAATTTAATAAATAAAATTTTCAATTATTTATATTCAAAGATTTAATACATTAAAAGTTGATTTTTTCAAATTAATTAATTTAAAGTTTTAAAAATATTTAATAAAGTTTTAATAAAAAATTTTGTTGTTCATATACAGTACTATATGGTATATTTTATTTTATTTTTGTTAAATTTATTTGACATAATTCAAAGCAAGATTTAATTTAAACTAAATTTTTTTGTTTTGCTCAATAAATTAATAATATTTTAAACAAAACAAAAAAACAACAAATTTTACAATTTATAGTTTAATATATAAATAATTATTTTATAAATCTATGCTATATATATATATTGTAAACTTTTTTTATGTTTTATGTTTTTTTAGATTATATTATTAGACTTAAAAAAAAAATAATAATAGTCAATAATAATAATAATAAAATATTACAATAATTTGAAAAAAAACATAACTAATTATTTTAATTTAAATTAATTTTAATTTTTTCGCTACCGGTATATAAATATATAATTATTTTTTTGTTTGTTTTCGCAGATTATCTTCAATTTTTTAGTCAATCCTTTACCGACGCAAACACCGCCGAAATCGTTTCAATTCACGTTTGATTAGTCGCTGTCTAACAATGGTCTCCCGATTCCTATCGGTCCACTCCACGAATTGCTGTTCGGCCGATCCGGTCATTACACGGGCGTAGACCACTTCACCCGACGAGTCATCACCCGACTCGCGACCCGAGCGGTTGACTCGCATTTTGTAGAATACATTATTATCAAAATCGGCCATCGGTTCCGCATCGTCTACTCTATACTTGGCCAACACATTGCGGGCCATACGTCGGCCGGCAAACTGTACGTACAGATAACTGTTCCAATAGCCGTTCGACGAAACAGTGGCCAATCGGTTCAGTTTGTCGATCAACCGTTTTTCTCGAGCGTACTGTTTCTTATCTTTGAGCCGATGTTTACCGTTAGTACCGCAAAGGCCTATGACCAGTACTGACTCGGGTAACGACTGTTTCATTAAGTCCAACTGTCTATCAACCCGTTTCATAACAAAACTGGTCTCCAGGCTTGTCATCTGATAGTCGGACATATCTCGCCGATAGTTATGTGTTTTGTTTTTCAATGAAACAATACGTTTGTTATTCAATCGCCAAAAACGCTGTTTGTCTTCGCCATGAAGTACTTCGGCCACCACTTGATGGCCATCGATGACCAGCTTCTGGTCAGTATCCTTGTCGACCGTAATTCGATTTATATCCAACACAGCTCTGGCCAAATGTTCCCCGTGAAATCGGACATAACAGACATTTTTTTGGCCAATTTTCAACACATATTTCACGCATCGGTTTTCTCGTTGATAATGACCGCAAAGTTTGTAGAAATAGTTACGTATCGACTGATAGGACAACTGTTTCGGTACTTTCTTTAACATCAAAACCGACGTATTTTTCGGTATATAAACACTATTTCTGTTGTCTGTATTGATGTCCATCTCTTTGATGGCTAACTTATTGATGACCTGATCATCGGTTTTCTTGGACTTAGTTTTGCTCATAAATTCACGTTTGCGTCGATAGTATTGCAATTTATTTTCTTTCATTAGTTTATTGTTGTCGCCATATTTGACCACTTCTTGACCTAACAGACTGTCGGCCATTGCTTTTGTTTCGTAAGTCACAAAAATACATCCTTTGAACTGTTTGTTGTTGTCATTGTGTGATGTCATCGTTGAGCGCCTGTATCTCATATCCAGCCATTCAACTGTTCCGTACGTTTGCGACCATTGCATCAGCTGATCAAACGTAACGCTCTCCGCCTCCGCCGCCGTTGGAAATCCGGCCAAATGTACAGTACGTTCGTTGAACTCGCGAATCCATTCGTCAGTTTTCGGCCGTACGGGTCGGTTGGGGTTTCGGCGAACTCTTTCGTTGATGACATCAATCTCCAGAAAATCTGTATCTAACTGAAGATTTTTAACGATATCAACAAATATATCGTAGGAATTGTCGGCCAATCGTTTCAAACGATTGAATGTCATTAATGTCGCAAAACTGATCCCTTAATTAAATTTTCGTTTGTTTTTTGATTGTTTTGTTTGTTTAAATAAGATAATTATGTATGAAATTTATATATAGTATATATATATATATATATATTAATTAATAGATAATTACATCCGTTATCTTTGTTGACTATAATCCTCATAAACCAATTTGTATTGATATTGATGTCCGAAAAGTATGCCATCAATTGTTTGGCAAACTTTTGCCGCAAATCATCGTTAATTGTGACCATCTTTGATGTTGTCGTTTCTGTTATTGTAGTAATAGTTTTTTTTGTTGGACTAAAGTCTACTAAAAAAATTATAAAATTATAAAACATTTATTAATAATAAATTTCTAAAGATTTAGTCAGTATAGTATTGTTTGAACTTTTTATTTTAATAAAAATATATTCAATGTTATATTGAATACTGTAATATTTATTTTTAATTTTTTTTTTAATTGTATCAAGTTTAATTTTTTTGGAGAAATTTATGATTCAAATTATTAGATCAAAAAATGTCAAGTTATTATTATTATTAATATTTAATAAAATTGAAAATTGATAAAATAAATTACATTTTATACACTATGTGTGTATATATATATTGTAACAAACTGTAACTAATTAATAATCAACAATTTTATACTTATATATTATTTATTTATATAAATAATAATGAGTGTTTTAAATGCAAGAAAAATATTATTGATATTAAATGTTATTTTTTTATTTTATTTATTTATATTTATGCAAACTTTTTAGGCGTGGTTCACATATTACGTTCGCACTTGAGGGGAGGGGGTTGGCCAAAGCGAACTTTTGCGAACGAGGGGGAGGGGTATAGTCTTTAAGAACGTTCGCATTTAGATAATATTTTATTTCTTGTGGTGGGGGGGGTAGCGGTTAGGGACATGCGAACGTAATTTTTTTAAATGACTACATGCGAACAATTGCGAACATAGGGGAGGGAGGGGGTCTAGATTTCTTAAAAAGCGCGAACGTAATATGTGAACGACGCCTTATACAAATATTACAAATTATTACTTATATTTATAAATTCAAACTTTAAATATAGTAATTTTTGTGATTAAATTAATGTGATATTTATAACACATAACACAAACATAACTGCATTAATAATTCAATAATTAGAAAAAACTTTATTTAATTATTTTTATTAATTAAATTTAATACATTTTTATTTAAATTATATAAAAAATTAATTATTGTTGATTATTATAATAATAATATTATAATGTTAAATAATTTTATATATTATGCATTATAATACTTTAAATTTGCAAAATTATTTAATTAAATATATATATCATTAGATTATCATATATATTAGATTATTATTAATATACCAAATAATATACTAGACATTGATTGACATTTTTTTTTATTGAATAAGTGTTTTATAAAATGTTAACCAATAGATACCTGAGCTCCGGGACGGTGGGAGTCTAACGTCGCAAACGCCGGAAGCGTTTCAGCTCTTTGTTGATTAGTAGCGGCCTATCGTAGTCTATGACCGACCAGTTCAGGTAGTGCTGTTCGGCCGGTCCGGTCAGTACCCGAGCATAGACTTCCCAATCCGTGTTGACCAGCATTTTATGATACAAATTACCCGTGCAATCGGTCAGCGGCTGCGAGTCGTCTACACTGGTCATTGTCAACACATTACGGGCCATTCGGCTGCTGGCGAACCGTACGTATAGACAGTTGTTTTCACACACAATCCATGATCTAACAGTTGCCAATTGATTCAACTCATCGACCAGTAATTGATGTCTAGTATTATCATGTTTTTTAGTGTCATTGCCATCAAAACTACTACCAAATAAGGCAATAATTAGTACGGAATCTTTCAGTGACTGTTTCAACGATTCGAGCCGTTTGTCTACCCGTTTCAGTACACATGTCTCGCCGCTTGTCATCTGATATTTGGCCACATCATCGCTGTGGCGATCTTTTTTGGCTTTCATTTTGTTTATACGTTTAGTATTCAATTGCCAAAAGTGTTGTAAGTGGTGTCCATCGAGCACTTCGGCCACCACATGATGACCATCGATGACCAGCTTCTGGACGTCGTCCGTGTCGTCAGTTATCCGGTTTGTATTCAATACAGTCGTAGCCATATAGTTACGATTGAAACGGACATAACAGACATTTTTGCGGCCAATTTTCAGTACATATTTAACAACTGGTTTTGAAGCTTTTCCGCCGACTCGTAGTCGTCGTCGGCATTGATAAGGACTGCAAACTTTGTAGAAGTAGTGGCGGATCGACTGATATGACAACTGTTTGGGCACTTTCTTCAGCATCAATACAGACGAGTTATGCGGTATATAAACCTCTTCAGTATTATTATTATTATTATTATTATTATCATTGATTTCGGCATTTCTCTCACTGATGGCTAACCTAATGATACGTTTAACAGTTTTTCTGATTTTCAATTTGTTCACAAATTCACGTTTGCGTCGATAGTATTGCAATTTATTTTCTTTCATTAGTTCATTGTTGTCGCCATATTTGACCACTTCTTGACCTAACAGACTGTCGGCCATTGCTTTTGTCTCGTAAGTCACATAAATACATCCTTTGAACTGTTTGTCGTCATCTTTGTCATTATCATCGACGACATCATTGTTCGTTGAGCGCCTGTATCTCATATCCAGCCATTCAACTGTTCCGTACGTTTGCGACCATTGCATCAGCTGATCAAACGTTACGTCCGCCGCCGTAGCCGTTGGAAATCCGGCCAAATGTACAGTACGTTCGTTGTACTCGCGAATCCATTCGTCAGTTTTCGGCCGTACGGGTCGGTTGGGGTTTCGGCGAACTCTTTCGTTGATGACATCAATCTCCAGAAAATCTGTATCTAACTGAAGATTTTTAACGATATCAACGAAAATATTGTACGAATTGTCTGCCAATTGTTTCAAACGATTGAATGTCATTAATGTCGTAAAACTGATCCCTTAATTAAAAAAAAATTAGTAACAAAAAAAATGTTTTATATATTTTAGTTATAAATATAAAATGATATTTACATCCATTATCTTTGTTGACCTCATCTCTAATAAACCGATTTGTATTGATATTGATGTCCGAAAAGTATGCCATCAATTGTTTGGCAAACATTGTTTGCCGCAAATTACCGATATTTGAGTCCATCATTATGTGTGTATTGTTATAACTTTTTTTTTATAACTTAATGTAATTATTAGATTTTATAAAATGTGTTAAAATTTACTATTTATATATTATATATCGTGTTTTTATAATAATAATTAAATATTATAATATATTCAGTGTTATATTATTATTGTTCATAATGTATCAAGTTGATTTTTTTATTAAAAAATTAATTAATATCACACAAATTTTGAGTAATTATTTTTTGCTAAATTAATCAAGTTTATTAAATTTATAATAAAGTCATTATTATTATTATTATTATTTATATTTCTATATATTTATTTTTTTAAAAATAAAAACTGTACATGGTTATTTTATTTGATTTTACACTTTTTTATAAAAATTAATTTTTATTATTAAACCAATATATAAATATTATATATAATTAATAATATTTATATATTGGTTTATTATTAAATAACTATTTGATGTATTGCTTCCCATATGAAATGTTTTATATATCATATATAAAACTAATTTATATTATATTTAATAAATAATAATAAAACAATTAATAATTTAAAAATTTATATAGAAAATAATTTTATAATAATATTTATTTATATGTTTAATTTTTATGGTATTAATTTATTAAAATATTATTATAAATACAGGTGAAAAAAATTATATTTAAAATAACAAACTTTAATTTATCAACAAATAAAAATATAATACATATTATAATTATATCGATTGAAAAACATATTATATTTAAAAAACATACATAACTTTTATTTAAATACATAATAAAAAAATAATTTATTTATTTTTTTTTAAATAAATAGATTTTAATATTTTAATTTCATATAATAATTAATTTAATGATAACATTAACAAATAACAACAATTTAATAATATTTTTTTAAAAAAAAAAACTTAACAAAAATGTTAAACTATTGTATTTAGACTATTATTATTATTGTGATTAGTATTGGCATCTATTTTGATATCATTAGATTTATTACTGATAGTATTGGTGCCATTATTATTGACTGGGGACGACGGCACCGGTAGTTTAGCTAAATCATTGTGCAATTGACGCCAACTGTTTGGCAACAATTTTTCCATATAATAGCATACGCGAGGCTGAATAAGATTATTATCTAACGGTGTATTTTTGTTGCCCCGAGTGGCCAGACTGACCACATTGCCGATGATAAAGCTGACAATAAAGCCGATGAATGGCACTAAATAGGGGCTTATGTGGTATATTTGGGCCATACCTTAAAAAAATAAATAGATAAATACATTTTTTGTTTGTTAAAAATAGGTTTGTTTCTCATAATATCAATAAATACTGGTTATACCGTACCTGTCGGCTCGTAGGCCGGTATCTTATAGGTAGACATTTCGCTCAGTGTTGTCCATTGGGTAAAATTTGCATTCGGGACAGTTATGTTACGGTCGGCGCAGGCCTCGCCACTTAACGGCAACATCAGTGACCGGGGATCGCGTTTGTTGACCACATAACCGATGGTAATCCAGAAGCTGAACATCTGACCCAATATGATGGCCGCAACGCCTCCATAAGCGTTAGCCCAGGGAACAAACAGCCCCAAACAAAACAAGGCAAATATCGGCCCATTAGCCGAACCGTACAACATGACAGCTGCTTCGACAATATTGTCGGTCAACTGTACGGCAAATGCCAGTCCAATAGATAACAGTCCAATCAAAATGGCCAACACTTTGGTAGCGTAGACACTGTACGCTTTTGGCAGCCAACCGGCGCACAGATCGCGGGCGTAATCGTCCCAAATGATCGATGCCATGGCATTCAAACCGGACGACAGGGTACTGAGCGAACCGCCAAATATGAACGCCACAAACATGCCGGGCATACCGGGGAACTGGTCCTTGAAGATATCCAGTACAAAATAGGGTAACAATTGGTCGGCACGGGTTACGCGGCCGGTAAGCAATGGATCGCAGTCGGCATAGCGGGCGTACATAACAATACCGATCAATACGATCAGCGACAGTACAACAACAAAGCCGGGCATTGCCAGATAGAGTGCCCGTTTGGCCGCCCGCATCGATGGCATGCATACGGCCCGCTGCACCTGTAGCTGTGAGGTGCTCAGTGTACCGCACCAGAGGACTGTAAAGCCGAATAGGATTACCCAAAACGAGTTGATACTGTAGATGTCTAAATCCATACTAAATTATGGTTTGATTGTGGGATAGATATATGAGATGTTATAGTTATTGCACATGTAGTTTTTTAAAAAAAGGGTGAGTTATGGGGGTGGGGGTGGTGAGGGGTACGAAAATATAATATACATACTTCCAAAATTCAATACGACCTCCGGTGTGGGCTATCTCGAAAGCTTTGGCCAAACCTCCCGATACACTGGCACCCTATGGTGTTTGATAGGGGTAATGTTAGATTATTATTATTTATCATTATTATAATCAATATATATTTTTTAAAAAAGTTTTATTGAAATTATATGTAATTATATATTTACTAAACTCTAATAACAATGACCATCAAACCGGCAATAATTACGATAAACTGGAAAACATCCGACCAAATGACACCCTTGAGTCCGCCCAATGATGTATACAGTGTAACAATTAGGCCGATAATCAATATGCTTGACTTGATGGACATATCGGTCACAATGGACAGTGCTATGGCCGGTGCAAAGCTAGTAGTTAAGATAATTTCAAAAAATATTTATTTTTTAAATTTATTAATTTGTAATAATAATAATAAATAATAAGTACTTACAGTTCAACACCAAAAAATGGTATCTAAAAACAAAATAATAATCAAAAAAATAATTATTATTTAATCAAAATAAGTCTAATATAATAATATATATATTTTTAACTACACTTTGTCTGGTATTATAAGATATTTTTATTTATTTGTAATTTATTCTCAAAATTTGTTTTTTTTGTATCAATAAATTAATTAAATTTTTTTTGTCTATTATATTATTATTACTCACAAGCGATATAAGCGCCGACACATTGCCGATGACCTGAAGTTTGTGTGACTGAAACCGTTTGAATAGGTATTCATTAACTGACGTCAGATTCATGTTGTAATAGACGGGTAGAAACACTTCGCAGGCCAACACTGCGGCCAATACGGCCGGCAACAGTCCCGACCAGACCATAGTCCCGGTAGCGTAAACGGTAACCGGAAAACCGATAAACCCGGTACTAGACATAAAACTGGCCATTATGGACAGGCATACGGGCAGTACCGACATATGTTTACCACTGGGAAAGAGAGAGAGAGAGAGAGAGAGAGAGAGAGAGAGAGAGAGAGAGAGAGTTAAACAAACAATAAATAAATAAAAATTAAATAATAGATAATTATTTATTTAGTGTTGGAAATTAAAAATTGTAAAAATTTTTCTTATATTTTTTTTGTCATTTGTAAACTAAAATCAAAAATATTTTTAAAAATCATATTTTTGTTATATTTTTAAAAAATCTATTTATAATTATTATTACTGTATATAATATTGTATATAATATTGTATATAAATTATATACATTGTGTACAACAGTGATTGTGTTTAGTTTCAGTGAGTTTTTTTAGCATATTTGAAAAAAATGCTATTAAAAAACAATATTTTAAACTTAATTATTTAGTGTTTTAAAAATTATTTTATTTTATTATAAATGTACAATGGGTTAAATTTTTATATTATTAAGTAATTAATTAAATAATTAAAAAAAATTATAACTTAGGGATCAGTTTATATAGAGTACATTGTAATCAATGGTTAGTCATACAGGGATACTGGCACGTAATAAATCGTCATATCCCTGTGCTTGCTATACATTAATAGTCGTATAAAAATAGTTATACATGTTTTCTATATAAACTAGCTATAAGTAGACTATTTTTGTTGTTACAGTTTGTAATAAAATAAAATAAAAACTAAAATTTATTATTTTTAATTGCATTTGACTATTTATATATATATAGTATTAACTAACTAAATATATTATTAATAATAATTTATCATTTAAGTTTATATTTATATGAAAAAATTATATTAATATATAATTTTTTTATAAAACATAAACAAAATAAAATTTCTAATAAAAGTAAATTAATAAAAAAAATTTTTAAATATTCAAATTAGTTATTTAATACAATATTATTAGTAAATTAATTAATTAATATTTATTTTTTTAATACAGTATTTATTGAGGACATACCCTCTGAGGAACTCATCCTCGTTGGTGTTGTTCCTGTCTTTCCAGGCATAGAAAAACCCAATGAATGTCGATATGATTAACATTACTATAAACACCGTATAGTCTATGACACCGAAATGTTCAGACATTTTTTTAATTGGTTTTTTTGTAGTTTTTATTTTTTTTACAATATATAAAATTTATTATTATTAAAAAATAAATAATAATTAAAAAAATTATTTCAATAACTTATATAATTCAAGTTATAAGTAATATTCTAAAAATTTAAAATAATTTCAACTATTTAAAATAAAACAATTAAATATAATTTTTTAATTAAAAAAATTTATTTAGTCTATAAAATATTATGTAATCAAAATTGTTATTTAGTATAACACAAAAATAAAATTTGAAACATTTGAAATAAAATATTTTGTCTAAATATTTATTTATATAGTTATTGTAAATTGATGATAAAAAAATGTTTTACATTTGTATTTATATAAAAATTTAATTATATTGTACCTAATGTACTATATATTATTTAAAAATACAAATACATACTATATATAATTAAAAAAATATATATAATGAAACATATTATATTTAATATCTATTACATATATGTATTACATTAAATAATTATTATATATACATATACTGTATATATTATATATATAGTTATCTTAACTGTCAACTAAATAAATTAAATAAATCACAAGTCAATTGATATAATGCATACATATTTCTTTAAAAATTAAATTAAATGTAATTTAAACAAAATTTTGTCGTATATATTAATAAAAAATTTATAATAAGTTAATATCAGTTAATGTCAATCACATGATCAAATTGACATTGATCTTTTAATTTAATAATCTATGTGATAAGGGTTGTCTCAATACAAATGATATTTACCAACAAAATTATATATATATTTTTAATACTAATATATATATATATACATATTTTTCAAAATTTAGTATTTGATAAAACGTTTAAATATTTTTAAAACAATTAGTTAAAAAACAAGATTAATTAAGTAATATTAAACTATAAATAATAATACTAATTGTACTAAAATACTAAATAAAATATATTATTAAGAAATTTCTAATAAATTTATGGGGAACTTTCGTTAATTATAAAAATAGTTTTCTTAAACCATATTTTCAATAATTATATATAATTTTATATGAAATTTATTACAAAAAATTTGATAAAAGTATAATTTTTAAGTTGTTTTTTCTGGTGCACTGAGTTTATCGTTTGTCACCAAAAAATTATTATTTATATTTAATTATCAAACATTTATATATTGATTAAATATTTATGTTTCAAATATTGCATACAAGAAAAAAAAGAACTAAACATTTCTATAATTAATAAATAGGTTTATATATAATATTATATTAGGAAATAAATACAATATATATATTATGAAACATCATTATTTTCAAATAACATAGCAAATAGAGTTTTATAAATTAATCTTAAACAAATAATTAAATATAAAAAATTTTTTTTTAAATAATACATAATTAATGATTTAATTTCAATGACAAATACAATCAATGAAATGGCCAGTAGTGTCACATATGGTCCGCAAACTACACGCATACTGTCCAATGGCATACGTTCATCATAGGGATCGGGTTCATGATTAATAAATGGTTGGCCACCATTTTTATAGAAATAGTTAAATAAATTACCATAATATATATTAAACCATGTTTCATAATGACCAGTTTCACGCGACTGTATAATACTATAGATAATATTATATATTAATATAATCATAAATATACAAATATAAAGTTAAGTTATATATATAAAGTTAAAGTTAAGTTATATATATAAAGTTAAAGTTAAGTTATATATATAAAGTTAAAGTTAAATTATATATATTAAGTTAAAGTAAAGTTATATAAAGTTAAAGTTATGTCATATAAAGTTAAAGTTATTATATAAAGTTAAAGTTAAGTTATATAAAGTTAAAGTTAAGTTATATAAAGTTAAAGTTAAGTTAAATAAAGTTAAAATTAAGTTATATATATAAAGTTAAAAATAAATAAATAATTAATTAACATAAGTTATAATAAAACCATACATATTATATGGATTTATATAAACAAAAAATTTCATTAATCTATAAATAATTAAATTTAAAAAACAACATATCATTACATATCTCTAAACTGTTTATATAGCCATTGATTGGTAATATTTTTATAGACCACGTGTCCGTAGCCACGTTGTTGATAGCTTTCACGCGATACGTGCAAAAACTGTACGTTTTGTAATATAGTTATAAAACTATTGACAAACTCTTTTTCAATAATAGCAGCCAATGATAAATGTTGAATATTAGACATTAAACTATTGATATTTTTGGAAAATAATTTATATGTAAATTCAAAATTATAGTTATTTGTCGATTTTCTAGCCCTTGATAGTAATTGTCTTTCAATTTCTATTGAATTATTCTAATGATTAGATAATAATAATTAAATAATTATAATGTATTTAAATTTATAATAATTAGATAATAATTAAGTAATTATAGGATTGTTGTTAACATATTACGTTCGCATTGCTTGGAAATCTAGACCCCTCCCTCCCTCCCTCCCTCCCTCCCTGCCTCCTCTATGTTCATTAAAAAAAATTTAAAGCTTTAAAACATTTAAAAAATACGTTCACATGTCCTTAACCGCTAACCCCCACCCCACCCGTCAACCACTAAAAAATAAAATATCTACATTACAAACGTTCTCTACAAATCTCTACCCCTCCCCTCCTCCCCCTCCCCTCCTCCCCCTCCCCTCGTTCGCAAAAGTTCCCGGATAGCTGACCCATCCCTTCCACTCAAATGCCAACGTAATATGTGAATCACCAACACTTATAAAATATTTAAATTCAATTTATTTTGATTTATTTCATAAACAATTACCTCATAAACTTGTAGATCGTGTTTAGTCATCAAGTATTGAATTTTCAGTTCAGGTTTATCATACATAAGCTGATCGTATGTGTCAATAGTTTCCATTGGATGTCCGATATATATTGTCAATATTTCCTGATTAATAAAATTGAATGTAAAATATTTGGTCAAAAATAATGTGCCAAACAATAGTATAGAAAATAGGGTATTGTCCATTTGAAATTTAACTATTAATAGATTTATATATATATAATATGTTAATAATAATTTAATTATTATTTATAATGTTGTTTAAACAAAATAATTATAATAAAAAAAATTAAAAAAACATATTTACAACTTAAACAAATTGCATTACATATCGACCATAAGTTATTTGAAAATCTATATTTATACAATTAGTCTATATGTTAGATAAAAATTAAATACAGTTATAATAAATTTATCATGATACAATAACTATTTTAATAATGATAACTGATATATGATAATATTAAACTATATTAAATATTTAAAAAAGTATTTAATAGGTAATATATATATATATTTATTATAAATTTGTAAAATAATAATAATAATATTTTTTTACAATTAGTATTTACCTATTTGTATGATTATTGCGATCGTTGGAAATTTTATTATACAATTTTAAAAGTATTAAACTAATTAGTATAATAAAAATTAGTGCCATCCAAAACTAATTTATTATTTTTAAAATATATTTATATATAGTTTAAATTATTTATAATAAAAAATAAAAATTAACAATTATTATTATTACTAATATTATATATATATATATATATAGATTTGATACCTACATAATAATCTAATACTTTAAATATGCCATCAAATTTCAATTGATTTACTATCGGATAAAAACTGCTCAAAATTACAAACTGATTGTCATTGTATGGCCATATTAGATGAAAATTATCTAATAATTTTGTATTCAATGGTTGACGATTAGTTATTATATCAACTTGCTATACAAACAAAAAAATTAGTAACAATTATTTATTTTTTAAATTTTGGTTTTTAATTTTTTTTAATAAATACTTTTAACAACATCAAAAAAACATACATTATTTTCGGCATACTTTATTGCCAGTGCTTTTGCTGTTAAATTTTTATTAATTATTGAATTATTGGCAAAATTATTAGTATTATTATCAACTAGAATTAATATTAGTCTAGAAAAAATAACATTTAATAAAAAAAAATTAATGTTTATTAAATACAGTATATATATATATATATATTTAATGAATTAAGTTTTATAGTTTATAATTTATAAAAATTAAAAAATTATTTTTATGTAAATTTATTTCACCCATATTTGGTTCGTCTAACTAATTCATAGATTACTTGAAAATGATGTCCACATAAAAATTTATAATCACTATCCGGGTACTATAATAAAAAATAAATAATTAGTTATTATTTTTTTAACAAAAAATAAATATATAAAACATTTAATTATATTTATTTATATAATTATATTAATTATATAATAATTAAATGTTTTATTGTTTTTTTTAAAGAAAATACTATATTAAAATTTAATTTTTAGATTTTCATACAAAATATTCGTTAGTATATGTAAAATTGCCCCTGGACACAAATTGATGATCAAATTGATATGGATATGATTCAGATGCTATACCAAAATCGCATATTAAATTTGATGCCAATCTCTCCATGATACTATATTTTTAATAAATAATAATTTTTATTAATAACAATAGTAAATTATAAACAATAATAAAAATTTGTTGATATATATATATATATAACAATATTATTATAAATAGTTAAAACATTATATTATTAATACTAAAAAAATTTATCTTTTATGTTATACTTTATATGCTATTATATAATATGTTAAATGTATTGAATTTTCTATTATATGTTTATCTCATTTTTATACTTTAATAATATTTAAATCAATGTTAATACATATTAATGTATAATTTATATGTATATTTATTAACTGTATATTAACAACATTTATACTACAAAAATAATATTAAAAAATAATAATTATTATACAGAATATTATAGTTAGTAAATAAGTTTAAATGAAAAAATACAATCAAAAAATAACAGTAGAAGTAATCTCTAAATTTATATAATATATTAATTATTTATGATAAAATTGATCTAGTTTAGTTCCTGTTTAGTTACCATCTAGTTATAATAAAA